AGTATTACCACTCCTACAAGGAAAAGCAACTTGCTCCACGGGGTTCTCGCGAGGGGGAACAGTTCGCCCTTGAAGAGGATATTGCTGACGCACACGAGGAGCATCCTCGCGATAGAAACGAGGCATATTCAGCCTCTCCGTGGGAGTAGGACTAGAAGAATGTTTCTTTCTTTTCTTTAGATCTAGGATTTGAACTTTCTTTCCTTTCTCATCCTTTGTGAAAAGCCTCCTTGGTCTTAGAGGTGCAACCAATGTCTGGTTGTCCTTGCGAGCTCCCACAATAGGAGTCCCCTCAGTGGACCTCTCTCCTCCATTCTATGAAATAGGGGCCTCAGCTCACTCTAAGGTCTCCATCTATTGAGGCCTCCCTTTAGGATTTCTTTGAGATGGAGTATCCGCAATCCAGCGAGAAGGCGAAGACTTTGTGTCATCTGCCCTTAATTTAAGTTTCAGCCTACGATGACCAGACCATGACTTCTTTTTCATAGAAAGAGTTGAAGGGGTCTCTTTAAGTCGCTTCATCAACTTAGGGATACGGAGAGCTACTCTCCCCACAGGTTTGGACTCTTGGGCAATTCCCTTCGAGAGAGCTTTTGGTGAAATCTCTGCACAGTCAAGGAAAAATCATCAGTTATCAACCAATGCAAAATACAAAGACAAAAAGAACAGTCTTACTTTTGCAAGCTAGAGCTAGCAAAGGATCTATAATCGCCAACGCATCCAAAAACTTATGTTTCTTTAACTTTCTCAGCAACAAGGAGATTTGTATATCTCGAATCCTAAAGAAAGCCCACTGAATTGCCTGATCCTAACGCGATCGCGAGTTGAGTGAAATCTGTTGCTGATTGGCTGTGCAGAGAAACTCATTCGCTAGTAGAAACATAAATAACAAGCCAATGAAAAAAAAAAGGGGGGGGGGGGGGGGGGGGGGGGGGGGAGTTTCGTAGGAATCCACCTCTAAAGTTTTTGATTTCGTTATATTTGAAGAAAAAATATTTAGACTCCTAGTCTCCAATATTAGTGGGAGTACCAACCACTCCGCTCAAACCTTTCGTTGCACGTTTGGCATGGTAATTTGTACATTTTCCCGTGTTGGGTTTTATCATGTAAACATGGGCAAACTCCTTCACCATGAGCTCGCACAGACTATGCTCTTGGTAAGCAATGTACATACCAATGATAATCAGTATGAATTAGGGCTCAACTGTAAAGGGGCAATCCTAAAGTAATCTAGCATCGCCTAAATAAAGGGATGAAGTGTTATTCCTACATCGCATTTCAAAAGCACTTCGATGGTTGTGGCATAACCAAGAGGAGGATCGTATGCAAGATAATCCAATGAACGAATTATGGGCAGAGTAATCCCATATTGGGACCTTATTCATTCAAATTCTGCTTCAAAAAGTATGGTAGGTGTAAAAGAACATGGGGCAAGGGGGTGGTGAGATGAAGAGCCAGCACCTCCATGTCTCTAGCTACTCTCGCCTTCTATGTGAGTAGACCCATAAGCTGCCCACATTGGTCTTGGAAGATCTAGCTTCTGTTCTTCCCCTGTCGCTTCTCTTCTTTTGTTACACGAGAGTACCACTTGGCAAGTAACCAGTGGAAAGGGGAAGAGTCGCATGAATGGAAGACACCTCATCCCCCTCTGAAGGTCCTTTTACCCTCTCTGAGAGAGCTGGCGAAGAAGAAGATGACGAAGAGGTTCACCGTCATCTCTTTCATTATAATTATGAACACCATCAGAACTATTATCGCTCATCTGGTGACAAACAAAAAAGACCACATCAAAAAAATAAAAATAAAAACACTTCCCTATCAAACGCATCATATAAGCACGAAACAAACTTCCATTACCCACCATTGGTGGTACAAACTCAATAAACTCCCAGTCAACTTAGACATTTTCTTACCCACACAAACAATAAACAAAGCTCATAGCCAAGTACCCACCAAAATTGAAAAAACACCAAAGAAAGGGAGCAAACCTTTGTTATAACAATACGGTGGAGGCAAAAGTCCTAAAGAGAGAGAAATCCTTGGAGCAAAAATTTAAAAACTGTTCCATTTTCTTAACCCTCTGTAAACAAGAAAGAGAGAAGAAGAAATTTAAAAAGGAATGAGAATGGATAAAACTGTTCCATTTCCCTCTCAAATACTGACCCAAGAACGGATCCCTAACCATCCATTTAACATACGTGGATGCAATTGGTGCACACGTGGCCATGATCAAGGACGTGGGGGTAGGTAACTGCCAAAAAACTTGGGAGAATGTATAACGGCCTGATAAACATTAAATGCCTAGGAAGAGAATGTTGTTTCAGGTCTGCATATATTCATTACACTAACCACACTACATTAAATGTGGTTAGACGTGTTCGGCTGGCAATCAATCACATCTCCAAAGATAAAACAAAAAGAAGAAAGGCTAACAGTCGAAACCCTAATGAACACAACCAGCTCAGAAATGTAGAGGCAATAACTCAAACAAGCAATTCGCGAGAAGTTAGAACTCGCCAATTAAAAGAGATGGATGAGCTCGTTAGATATTCCCCATCATTCCGTAAAGACAGCTCGTGATAATAGCTCGCGACAACAACTCGCGATAACACAACATCTCACGGTGGAGAGCTCGCTATAAGTAGTCCGCAAATACTAAATAAGAGCTCGCAACAACAACTCGCAATGAATAGTTCGCAAATACAGCCCACATAACAGGTCGTCAAGGCTGAAGTTTTTGAAGCTTGAGCTCGAGCTCTAAAAACTACAGGGTAATTGTTGGAGGGTAAAATCATGCAGAATAAAGGCTTGACAAATGTGCCCAAAGTGGGCCCCACCTAGGAAAGGAAGCTTATAAAGAAAGAAAGAGAGTAGCCTTCCCCGAAGCCAAGTGTCCACCTACATGAAGAGAGCATCACCAATAAGAATGTCGCCCAATCCTCTTTCCATGTGTCCGCATGCATGAGGATTACTTCCCTCATCAAACTAAGAATGCGGCACCGCATGCCCTGTTGCATGTAAACTACTTCACACCCAAGATTACCTCCAGAACACTATAAATAGGGGGTCATCGCCCCACATAAAAGAGATCAACATCTTTTTACTTCAAGAGCATATTCTCTTTGTAAACCCAGCAATTAAATAATAGTGGGCGTAGGAATTGCTCATTGCTTCCAAACCACTTTAAAAATCGTTCTTGTCTATCTTTCATTTACTTTTACGTGTTTACTAGTTCAACACACCACTTAATTTCCACACACAAACCTCATTGAACCCATCTATTCCACGGTCTTTCATAGATCCTTTACACAAACTTTCCGAAGGCTTGCGTACATCTTCTTGGTGTAAAAAACCACATTTACTCCAACAGCTCAAGGGTAAGTTAATGTCTTAATAAAAATTGAAGCTAGTTGTGATAATTAAATTACTCAAAATATGATATATTCTAGGTGCAAGAAATGAAATATAAATATATAATATCAAAAAATATATTTTTTTAAACCGATAAATAAATCATGAAGTTTGTGCTGAAATTAAGAGAGAAAACTTCACATGATTAAAATATCACAGAAAATATCTAAAAAGGTTCATATCACATGAAGAGTATATTAATTAATTAATGGACCATAGTTACCAATTAATCAATACTTTCTTTATGTATTAATTGATGTTTAAAGCGATCAATTATTGTAATATTAATATCAATTTTATAATACTGGTTTGATTATTAGATCAAGAAAAAAAACACGTGTTGAATCGATGTAAACAAAATAATTCTTAAAACAATTTTTAGAAAAAAAAAAATAGCATATTTCTAATTATAGAAATAAGACGACGAATTAACATTCAAATCAAACTTAACTACCTAATGGAAAATAAAACAAAACCAACTCAAGCAAGGAAAACTAATACGAAAAATATACTTATATGTACATATAATAATTTAACTCAACTCTTTTGGTAGCTTATAAGACCCCATGAATCATTACTCAGCATGATTGTTTACAATATTTCCAAATAATTTCTTTATATTTTATCACATATAATAAAAATACATAGATACTTATAATTGTTGATACTTGATTTTGGTTGCCCACATAAATGGTCATTTCCCAATTTGGAATCTATTAACACTCACCTCAGCTCCTGTGAAAGCATGTGGACTTCAACATACAACGAATAGCAGAGTTAGAAGAGGCCAGTGGAGATGTCATTGGCGAGAACTCTTCGACGTCCAGTCAATCAATTGAATCCGTATAAGTTCAAAGTACTATTTCGGACTAGCTAATTATGTACTGGACATTCAACTCCCGATGACATTGGACTTGCCAACCCCACTAATTTACCCTTCTTTTATGTGTATTAATTAACAATAATTACCCGAAGAATATTCTTGCAAAAATGACAGTTACTATAGAGAGAGAATGGGCAAAGAGTTACCAATTTTTCATTACTCGTTTTACTTTGTGGAGCTCTCTTATATAGTGGATAAATAACTTGCCAAAAATGTCTCATTAATACGCTATAGGTGATGTGTCCCCCATGCAGCTTACCGCTTTTTGTTTTGCTGATTTTATAGACACGCTTCCGGAAATGGTTTTATGGTCTCTAGCGTTCAGTGACCGCTCCTATTCCAGTGTTAGTGTAAAACATTGAGTCCAATGCCTGTACATAGACTTCGTTCTCGACCAATGCTTCAACCCCCATTGGGCTCTCATTCGTTCCTATTTAGTAATCATTTTACCCACCAACACTTATAAATATTATATATAAAATATATAAAATTTAAATAAAAAATTATAAATCTAAAATTAGTTTTTTATCACAATTAAAATATTATAAACATAGGCAACAAAAAAGATCTCAAAATTTATTGGCAATTGAAAACAGAGCAGTAATTTTTCAATAACATGACTAATTTTTGCATAAACAAGCTTTAAGAGCTAAAAGAACACAGCACACGTACTCTCAACCACACCATTTATGAGAGTCAAAGTTAATCATCTTGATGGCCAAACTTCCAACAGTACTTGTTCATCAATCTTGCTCAGCTTCTCATCAGCAAGACGCTTCCAAGTCTTGATCCTCTCAACTCCCACCCATTCATTCTCACCCTTCCAAAGCTCTGCCAATATAACTCTTGCTCTCCTTGGCCATCCAGCCCTTCCATAGGCGTGGTATCCAAAACCTCCACCATAACATAACCAAATACCCTCAATATTCCCACAGAAATCATTAGTATGGTCATGTCCCACGAACACAGCCTTCACGTCTCCAATGGAAACCAATGTCTGTAGAACACCTGAATTCACTTTTGAACACGACACAGCCTGCTGAAACTGTCCTACAATCTCTTTGTCATATAGCTCTTGCATTTCTGGTACTGGGATATGGAAAAATACTATTCCTGGTGCTGGGCAAGCCCTTACCAATTCATCATTTGAATCCTGCTTTTGACCCTGTCAGTATGTAATTAACATGCAACAAGTTAATAAATCTAAATGTACCAAACTTCCTTTAAATTGGGAATTTGAAACCCATGTTGTCTATTTATATATTTTTTAAAAGGATAGATGGTGGGTCATAGACCAAATCTGATTTTTTTTTTTTTTCTTACCTTACCCTCAGAGATCAAACTCGGGTGATCAAACAAAGAAAGAGGCTGATAAACCACTAGGGTTGAGCCCTCGGGACCATGTTAATTATATAAAATAATTTTATAACAAATTAAAGTATGTTCTAATTAATTACATTGGCGTTTATTCAGTATACTATACCTGCAATTGCTCAGAAACTCCGCGAAGCCAAGAAAGTTGAGATTCTCTAATCCACCTATAAGTTGAAACTCCCTGAACAATTTCCCTATCCCAACTGTCAAGAAAGAAAAGATTGAAGACACTGTTGGTTGCCAAATGTGAACCAGGAGGACCATAAACTTTGAGATCATAGTTCCCGAAGACATCGATGTGTTGTTTCGCAGTATTAATGGAGGGATTATTTTGTGCAACTGAATAATCCATAAGAGAGATAAAATGCATAAGCTCTTGGCGATTCATTGTTGATTTTTGGTCGTGGTTTCCTAAAACAGCTCCCCATGGAAGCCCAGATTCAATAGCAGGACCAAACGCTTTTAGCAGAGATTCAGCGGCATCTGTTGTGCTTTTCCCACATGTGTTATCTTCTAGTTAATTAAATTTAATTGAACCAAGTCATTTAGATGGTAAAAACTCATTGATGCCTTCAAATTATCTGTAAAAAACTTTAATTAAAGTACGACAGAGTTAACTAACTTCTTGTTTCTGGAAATACAACTCAAAAGCAAAATCGATGTTTTTAAAAAAGCCACTTTACTAAAATCAAAACGTGACAAAAAGTCAACGAATCTGCAAACATGTATTAGACAAATAACGAATTGTTACTAGTAAAAGCAATAAAATCAGGCTTTTCAGCTTCAATCATCCTCTTAAGAAAGCGAGTGGTGTTGAGATCAGAACAGTATTCAAACTCAGTGGCCATCACGTTTCTGCAACGACTCGTCATTCCCATTCCATAATGCATATCAGCCACCTTTGTTTATAAATCCAGAAATTAATAACTAATGAAACTAAAAAGAAAATTGGAAAAATGAAAAATGTAAACTAAATTGAACTAACCTGAAGTATTTTGAAAGTGCCATCATATCGGAATCGGAGAGGAAGATCTGAGCCTGTCTTGATGTGAATTTCGTGGTAGCTTATTAATATTTTTTGTGAAATTTTCTTGTTAAGAATGTAGAGGATAACATATACCAGAGTTAAGTAGGGCAAAGATTGCCTCCATTTTGGAGTAGTTATAGATTTCATTATAAGTTTCAGGGAGATGATAAACAAATTTCAGTTTATAAGTTTTTGTTAATAATACATGCTTGCCTCTGACGTAGATGAGAGCAACCCTTTATTTTATATACATATAACAATTTTATTAGTCATTAGATGTAACATCTAAACTCTTTGTTAATCATTGTGCAAATGCATTAATATGTATAAGGGGTATTATCCACGACGGGATAAATGTTTTTGATAAAGACAAAAAAGAGAGACTATATATATGTTAATTGTGGATAGTTGATGTTAAGTTTAACTTGTATATAAGGTAAAATGGCAAAGTTATATATTTGAATTATTACTTCTTACAAATAGAAACAAATTAATATGAAAATAAAACATTGTGAAAAAAAAATTAAAAATTAAAAATTAAAAACAACAAAATTAAAACTACTATAACAAATAAAAGAACTTAAAAGGTTAAATTGAAAAAAAGGAAATTAAAATAAAATTAACAAAAAGCCAATTAGTTTTTTCTTTTTCTTTTTTAAATGAAAATTAGTGGCCATCGCGGTTGCCTTTTATTTCAATTGTTTATATTTTTAAGTTTTCAAATTTAAAATCTTAAATAAATGTATAGTTTATGCAATAAAGGATATTTAGGTCTTTTTTAGTTAAAACAACATCAATCAACCGAAAATTATCCTCCTCCCCCTCCCCACCCCACCCCCCCCCCCCCCCCCCCCCCCCCCCCCCCCCCCCCCCCCCCCCCCCCCCCCCCCCCCCCCCCACCCCCACCCCCCCCTCTTTTCTTTTGTGTGTGTTTTGAAACATGTGTTACTCTTCTGGATTTTTCAACTATAAGTATCATTTGATTAATAACTATTTGAAAGTCCCACGTGTTGCGCAGGTTGCTTATAATATTGGTTTTGACACCTCGTTCGTTTAAATAATTAGATGTTTCAATTGGTTGATATTTACTATTAAGGCAAAAACATTGTATAGGTCTATCAAATTAAAAAATTTAATTATATGTAGTTTTATTTTATGATTTTATTGTTTTGAATTGATGTCATTTCATATATTGTTTTAAATAACTTGTCATTTCTTTTAAGTGTGGTTTGACCATAATTGGAAGGGTCTACAGTTATCCAAATTCACCGTATAAAAAATCAAGTTAAAACCCTTTCTGTCTAGTTTCCAAATATTCAAACCACTCATCAATTGGATTTTTGTTGAGCAAGTTATGACCAATTTCCTGCTGATTGTTCAATGAAGAGAAACAGGAGAAACCAAGATGTGTGTGATGATAAAATGAATGGTTCGGCCGTGGGTCTACAATTATCCAAATTCAACTTATACTATATGAAATTAAAGATCTGTCTGTCTAGTTTTCAAATATTCAAACTTCTCATCAATTGGATTTTTATTGAGCAAGTTATGGTTCATTTACTACTGACTGTTCAATGGGAACCGAGAAACAAGGGAAACCAAAATGTGTGTGATGATAAAATGAATGGTTCAGCAGGGGGTCTACAATTATCAAAATTCATTGTATAATATATCAAATTAAAGTATTGTCTGTCTAGTTTCTAAATATTCAAACTCCTCCTCAATTGGATTTTTATTGAGCAAGTTATAGCCAATTGACTATTGACTATTCAGTGGAAACCGAGAAACAGGGGGAAACCGAAATATGTGTGATGATAAAATGAATGGTTCAGTGGTGGATCTACAGTTATCCAAATTTAGCGTATAATATATAAAATTAAAGTCTTGTCTGTCTAGTTTCCAAATATTGAAACCTTCCGTCAGTTTGACTGTTATTAAGCAAGTTATAACCAATTTACTACTAACTATTCAGTGGAAACCGAGAAACGGGGGAAACCAAAATATGTGTAATGATAGAATGAATGGTTTGGCAATGGGTCTACAGTTACCCAAATTCAGTATATAATATATCAAATGAAATCCCTATCTATCTAGTTTCTAGATATTCAAACCGTTTGTCAATTGGATTTTTATTAAGCAAGTTATGACCAATTTTCTAATGATTGTTCAATGGAATCCGAGAAACAGAGGAAACTGAAATATGTGTGATGATAAAATGAATGTTTCGGTAGTGGGTCTACAGTTATCCAAATTCAGTGCATAATATTTCAAATTAAAGTCTTATTTGTCTAGTTTCTAAAGATTCAAAATATTCATTAATTGGATTTTATTGAGCAAGTTATAGTTAATTTATTACTGACTATTCAATGGAAACCGAGAAACAGGAGAAACCAAAATGTGTGTGATGATAAAATGAATGGTTTGGCTATGGGTCTATAGTTATCCAAATTTAGCGTCTAATATATCAAATTAATGCCCTGTCTGTCTAGTTTCCAAATATTCAAACTGTTCATCAATTGGATTTTTACTGTACAAGTTATGGCCAATTTACTACTAATTGTTCAATAGAAACGAAGGAAACCAAAATGTGTGTAATGATAAAATGAATGGCTTAGCAATGGGTTTATGTCAAACCGGTTGTCACGGTCACAAAATTAAACCTAAATACCGTAGTTAGTGGTAAGCAGGGTCGAATCCATATAGAGCAAGACTAATGACCTAATGTATATTTGAGTTAACGAAAGAGAAATTGGCAGAATGATTGATTAAAACTAAGGAAACTAATTACTTGCAGGAAATTAAAAAGCATCAAATAAATTGCTAACTAAAACACAATATTAAAAGCGTTGTCGCTAGGGATTCGGTTTTACTCAAGACCAACTCTCACAATTCCTCTCCTCGCTCTTCAATTTCCTAATCCTACAAGGCTAGGCAAATCAATAAAATGGCTTCTGGCAAGCTAGGTATAATCTATCCTGTCTCCCCGTCGTCTTAGTTATAGATTGATTGGTTAAAGACTATCATCGACTAACCGAAAAACGCTAAACCCTTAAACACCACTAGTTGGTACAACGTTAACAAGTACAACCTATCAACCTGTATCATCCAATCAACTAATTACACAACAAATGCATTCCTAGTAGAAATGATATTAAACGCTACTACAACTTGATTGCAATCAGTACCGAAGCAATTTAAAGTTATAATCAACATTCAATAATCTCAAACCGACATTCAATTATGTGAAAAGTTATATATCAATAAACGTTCTCAATGGACATTATCAATTCAACACGTCGAACATCAGAATAATATTAAAGCATCGCAAACAAACTGAAACGAAAACAAATATAATCTGAATACAAGAAACTTAACCAAATGTCCAACATTCCGGGCTCATCCAACTAGTCAAGAGCTGATGAGGAGATCAATGGAGTCAATCTCGATCTCGCCTACACCGTAACAGACAGCCGGGAACTCAGCCGCTCATGGTGGTGATGACGGAGGCTGAAACATTAGAAACGAAGCTGATCATGGCGAAGAGGAGGTAATCGACAGTGATATGATGCGAAGAAGGGGCAAAAAAGACCAACGGATAGCCCGGAATATGAATAGTCGCACTCGCCGGAAAACGTTAATTTTCTAGCGGGTCTTTCGAAAAATGGTAGCGGAAATGGGATCCGAAGGTACCGATGGAAAGCTCTGATGATGGGGAGTTCAGATCAGGTCCTGGGGAGGTGAAAGGTCGTCGGAAATGAGCAAGATCTGGGCTGGAAGATGAAGAGGCGCGACGACGATTTGGCGGATTCCGGCAGTTTTTGCTGCGGCTGAAGCTTGCAAAGGGTAGATCCAGCCGTGGGGAAGGGAGATCAACTATTGGGGGGCTGGAACGTCGCCGAAAAATTTTGAAATCTCGGTTGGAAGATGAACAGTCGCAGCAGCGGGAAGATGAAACGTCGCAACAACGGAATCACGTCTCACGGTGGTAGGTGGAGGCTCGCCGGCGGAAGGTGAAGGGTCGCCGACCTGGAAGATGAAACGTTGCCGGCCGACGACCAAATTCTGGTGGGAGGCTAGGGTTTTTTGGGTTTAGGTTTGCGCGTCTCCTGATTTCACGACTCAACTGCAATTTTATACACATTACAACAAATATCCATTTGGTCCCTGCATATTAAAAAATGACAAAATCAACCCTTATAAATGTGACAGTTTACCCCTTAAACAACATAAATGAGACAAAATCACTCCAAATCCATAAATCACAACCTAATATCAACTCATAAGAATTCATAAATTCTTTAATTCATAAGAAAAATATTAGGAAGCGATTTTCGTGAATAAATTCATAAATTCTTTAATTGTCTCGATATACTTCAATTCAATTACACATAGCGTCTTTTTATCACCAAAATAGAGTCACTTTCATGACTCTAACACACTCCCCAACTTACTCTTTGCTCGTCCTCGAGTAAAGTTAAAAGAACTCTTTCAACATTCTCACAAAACCATACACAACCATATTCATCAACAACTAAGACATTCATCAAAAGGTAAAGTGAAGAATTTTAACCTAACATGCAAACAACACAATCCTAAATAAAGAACTGAAGTTTCTGTCAAGATTTGTCTATCTCCATTCAAGCTTCTCAAATACACATTTCATATTCATATCACAGTCTTAAAATATTATGCAAAACTTCCCAACTTATGTACATGCAATATAATGCTCATTTTCCACATAAGATTTTGACAAATTATTTCTTTTCATTCATCACTTGTTTTTTTTTTTTTTTTCCTTTTCTTAACTTCTTAAGCTTTCTAGAAAGTCCGTATAACAAGCTTTAGATCAATGACTCCCAAACCAGTTGGCTATAGGGCATTAAGTGTATAACACTCCTCGAACTTACTCACCTGAACCAACTAGGCTACAAGTCAAGGCTTTATTTCTTTTTATAAAGCTCGTGATATATGTAATGACTTCTTAAGCTTTCTAAAGGACCCATGTAACGAACTTTAGGCCAACCGCTCCCAAGCTAGATAGCTTTAGGGGATTAGGTGTAGAACACCCCTTGGGCGTACTCACTCGAGTCAACTAGGCTACAAATCAAAACCAAATCATCAAGCAACATTTAAGCAGTTTTAACACA